TAATGCAACATCTGAAGAAGCAGAGTTCCCTACCTAAACTGCACTGAACTCTTAAGGCTGAGTTAGGAAGTTGTACTGATCAAGCTGACTACGTGGCAATCTCATTGCAAGGCCATCAGAACATGGAAGAACTCTTTGGTCTGACCCACTGAAACCAGGTAGCCCTGCAAACTTCCACAAGACAGCGTTATTTTTCATCCTCACATGGAGTAGCCTGTTCATAGCAGAGCTGTACGCATCAATGCAGGTTCAGAGAGTTGGAGTTCAACAACTTACAGAAAGTCGGAGAAGACCTTCCTGGGGAACCGAACCACATCTGTCAGTGCCCCCTGTCCCCATCTATACGCTCACCTGCTCACTGGAGATAAGCGAGGCTGGGATGGTTACAGAGCTCGGTACAAATTACATCTTTTATGGAAGTGGATGAAGCGAGAAAAGAAAATGTGCAGTTATTTCTGGATCCCCAGTGGACACTCGCTCAAGCTCCCCACTAGGTCATCCTCCCACAAAAACTGTGGACCCTGGGTCAACTCCCTTCCACTCCCAAAACATGACCACAGTTTTCAAAATACATCCAGTGGAGGCAGCTTCCGAGATGGTGTCTTTGCAACAGAAAAACACAGTTGTCCAAAGAAAACAGGCTCCACCACAGACACTTTTCTTCAAGCCTCCTTTCTTCTGCTTCATGACGACTCTGCTGGCCCCCAGACTTGACCAGGTGAAATCCACCCCCCACCGCAAAGAACTGTGCATCATGTCTGTTTATTAATTGAAAAAGTTAATACACGTGTCCTACACTTTTAGCAATTTGATCGTGTCACAAGCAATGTGTGTGCATGTGTGTAACACCACATCTTTCCTTGCAACTGTACATAGTATGGCAATTGAAGATTACCAGCCTATGTCCTTCTCTTCTTTCTGGCTCTGAAGCACTCCGGTCCCCTTTCCAGCTGATACAGCTCTTTATTAAAAGGGACACCTCCATCGCCAGCATGGGGCTCTCTGCCAACCACAAGAGACTGTAATGTTGACTCCCCTCCTGGCCTGCCCGTGCCTGCTGGCAGCAAGCGTTGTAGTTCTGGCTCCCACCTGTCGTAGGCTGTTGGGAGCTTCTCCTCCTCTGAACTGGTCACAAGGTTTTGCTTTAGGCTCTGGGAGGAGCTCATCTGAGCCCTAGTGCAAGGCATAAGCTGGTTCCAGCTCTGGGATGAGCTTGCTGGCCCCTGAACCCCTGCAGCTCCCTCCCAGGTCCGATTAGGAGCTAACTAGACCCCGGGTTGAAGGCAAGACCTCCTTCTTCCTCCAAGAGGTCCTCCTTTGAGCCCTGGTGGAGGGCAGAACCTTGTTCCGGCTCCAGGATGCGCTCATCCTCCTTGTGCTTAAAACTGCCTGGTGTTCCCAGGCGCCTCCTTCATCAGCATACAAATTGTGTTAGACTACAGGTTAGGGCAGACTTGGCCGCCGGCACACAATCCAGCCACAGGGATACCAGCAAGGCTTGTTGTTGCGAGAGCTGGAGTCTCACTTATTAGGAATCCTGCTTGTAGTGGTAAAAGGCATTCAAAATGCAAAGCACTTTCTAATCAGGACTAATTAGCATCATTATTTCTAGACGCGGTTTAATCATTTTAAAAACATACATGGAAAACAGGTCACCGGCGATGGGCAAAGCTGTCAGAAACAGAGCTCTCCATGTGCATGCCCTTCTTTCTTGTGTTTCTTGTCCTTCCAAGCCCCCTGTTTTCTCATCATTAGTAGGCCTCAATCAGGGTCTTCATTGAGAAGAGCGGTGTGCAAACACCCTGATTTTGGAAACAACAGACAAGGATAAACAAAAAGTCATTCGATGGGGAGACCCTGCAATTGGACAGTGGTGTCTTGGGTGCTAGTCCAGTGCAGTATTTGCTAAATCCATTCTGCTGTTGCCTGCTGCATATGCTCCCCACTTGTGGCAAAAAATGATTCAACATCTCTAAGGAGGTGTTCTTTTTCACAGATGCTAAGCTCCAGATTCACCCCTGCTACATGCCGATATAAATCCCACTGAAATCCATGCGTCTGCTCCACCACTGCATTACTCAAGTTTTCCACCAGAATGCTATTAAATCCAAGGGAGCTACAGCAGCTTACTGCTGAAGTAAAACCGTAGTGAATCCAGCCTGGCATCTCTAAATCTCATCTCACAATCATCTTTTGCATGGCAGCTTAGTACTGTGAGACAGTGGCTGAAGGACGCCACGTAGAAATAAATTGTGGTGCATGAACACCTGGGAATTCATATTGGCTTTGCAAAGCAGTCCCGAGCCACACAGAGGCCTCCTGCCCTTGAGTGAATGATGGGCTCACAGGGGCTGAATTACTGCCACTGCCCAAATTATCATTTTGAATGCTTTAAAATCAGCCTCTTCCAAAGCAGGGAGCAAGAGGAGAAGATTAAACATGAGCCAGGCATTTCAATAGCCCTGGGAAACTTCTTTGTGTGCCATTTAGGGGATGGGTCATCATGGCACAGCTGGGACATCACCCGTACGTGAGAATGGTGGGATCTATAATGGAAAGCAAGCCACACAGCACTGTAACATTTAGTAGACCAGTGACAACCACTCCCCTTTACTGGTGTGGCTCATCCCCAGACAACGAAATTTCTCCTCCAGGTGTGTGCCTGAGAAATCATCTGGTCCCGAGGTCATTATCCCAGGCTCCCCTCACCCTGGCAAGGTGCCAGATAATCAGCTGATTGTCAGCTGGCTCCAGGGACCCACTCATTTGAGCCCCCATGCAGTCCCTGGAGCTGGCCAGTGATCCTCTGACGATTGGCAGATCAGGAGTACATTGCTGGTCCAGCCCCCGAACGGTCCCAATCCACCAATCAACAGCTGATTGGGAGCGCTCCAGGGTTCAATGCCCAAAATGCTCCCGATCCTCTGTCAGCCGATCAGACTGTCCTAGGGCTCTAGCCACATCAGCTGATTGTTGACAGGATCTGCATCCCACCAGGGCTGCCCAGTGAGATCTCAATTATGACACATATGTGGTGTAACAACTTTGTGGCTGGTTTCCTATTTTTGCAGCACCATTAATTGCCATGAATCTTGTTGTAAGTGCAACGTCCGGCTGGGCCTTTAGAGATGTGGGCTCTATTCCCCATGCTCTCCTTTCCCCTTCCCCTCCCTCAGCTCCCCGTCCTGCCTCTCATCAGTTGGATTTAGTCGTGTCGGAAAAAAGACAGTTCGTAACACAGTGGAGCCCTGATGTCAGTGGCCGTTGCTTGGTGTTTTCTGGTAGGCATCACTCATCACACTGAAGCAAAATGTGCCAGGTATAAAATCATCTAAAAGAAAACTCAGCATGGAAGATATTTTAGCCATTACAACCTGGCTCCTTCCTCATACAACCTTCAACTATAAATAAAGCTTATATTTACTTAGGGCCTGGTTCGCTGTGGGCTTATCTAGTCCAAACCCCTCTAAACCATCCCAGATAAATGTTTCATCTACACTTAAGCACTTCCCATGTTAGAGATCCCACAGCCTCTCCAGCTAATTTGTTCAAGTGTTGAACCACCCTCATAAGTAGAAAGTTCTTCCTAATATCTAACCTAAATCTTCCTTGTTGCAATTTAAGCTTATTACTTCTTGTCTGGTCCCCAGTGGATACAGAACAATTGATTGCCACCCGCTTTAAAACAGCTCTGGTAGCATGTAAAACTGCTATCAATTCCTCTCAGTCTTCTCTTCTCCAAACTTAACAAATCCAATTCTTTTAACCTTTCCTTATATGTCATGTTTTGTAGACCCCTAATCATTGTGTCTTGCTCTCCTCTGGATTCAGATGAATTTGTCCTGAGGCGCTGAGTATTATCACTCCTAGAGAGTGAAAATGTGGTTTCTCCACAGAGTTTTAGAGCCCAAAATAACACAGTCTTGGTAAATGGTGAATCAACAGGGGGAAAACAAATACTAGGGTGAATTAAGTGATATACACTTCCTCAACTAGGAGAAACCCAGCGTTTCAGCAAACAAATCTTCAAGCAAGAGTGAGCAGACAGAGGGGAAGGTGGAGAAACAAGCAGATACTGCAGGCAGGCAGACAGACAGACAGACATGGTATTTTGGCCTGGCCAACAAATGCTTATTATATATACACTAATGTAAAACAGCCTCCACATGTCCTGTACTCACCTCCTACTTGCAATCTGAACCCAGCTATCTAAAGACTAGTGCATCCTCTGCCTCATTATCAAACAGCCCCAGCCAACTAGAAAATCCTTTGACTACTTCATTGTAAATAATCCAACATGGCAAGCAGGTGTCTGTGTAAATAATACAGCATATTTAATAGAAATCAGGTGCCTTCTGTTAATAGATTAGGGGTTGAGATGTATTTTTATGGCACCAGGCGTGTTCACAATGCTCAGAGGTTTGAAACAATGTTCATATCAAATGACTAGCAATGGATTTCACGTGTGCTCCCATTCATCCAGTAGATCTAATTGCATTGGCACTAATCACAGCAACAGAGATCAGAGCATTCATCATCACATTATTGTTATTCTTCTTATTATTACTACTACTGTTGTAGTCGGAATAGCAGCAGCAGAAGCATTAGCACCCAATGAGGGCTTGATGTTTCACTGTGCTTAGCAATGCATATGCGTATAACAAAGATCGATCCTTCCTCCCAGAGGTTTGCAGTCAAAGGGCAAAATTAGAGACCCGTAAAAGAGCCAAGTATATATTCATACCAAACTCCGAGCAGAAACTCCAATGCAGATTGTATTAGGCACACCCAGACACATGCACACATTTGGAAAATACTGCTGTGAGAATGGTCCCGGCACGTCAGGACAGTTTTTTTGTGCCTGTTGTCCCTAGTTTAGCTAGTTCACAGCATTATCTGTCTCTTGACTATTAACAAAGCTGTTGTATTCAGCTGCCTTTGCTGCTGAGAATTACTTTGAATTCATAACACAGCCAAATCAATATTGCATTCACCTCCTCAGTAAGCTGTTGAGGCAGGCAGTGAGGGTACCTGAACAGGGCGTACAACCAGATCTCACTGGACTCCCATAATGCAGACAGTCATGCTTCTGACCTGCAATGAGACAAAGAGAGAACATGCTTTCTTTTTAAGGAAGTCAGCCCCGTGGCTGCAAGAACATCACTTCCAGTGGATACTTGACTCACTGCATGTAGGAGAATTAGAAAAGGTACAGCAAAGAGCAACCAAAATGATCAGGAGTATGGCACAATTGATATACCAGGAGAGACTAAAATGGCTAGGACCCTTCTGTTGGGAAAGGAGAAGGCTGAAGTGGCAGAGGAAAGGTGTGACCGAAGGTGTAGACCAAGTGAACAGGGAGTTTTTTCATAGATTCATAGATGTTAGGGTCGGAAGGGACCTCAATAGATCATCGAGTCCGACCCCCTGCATAAGCAGGAAA